AGTTATTCCAAAAATCTTGAAATATTTGTTTTTTAAAGACACTGAGTGTTCTTAGTGAGGCATATGTACCCCCTAAATGAGTACAACAGGCAGACAGATGCAGCCTGCGCCCTATTATTTTTGCTCTTTTCCTCTTAATTTTCCTCTTCACCTGATCTTTTACCCTCTTTCACCTTTCCTCTTCCTCATTTTTTTCTTTATTTTCTCCCAAAAGATAGATTTTCATCTAACACTCTTCACCTGTTTATAAATAGGGGCTAGTGATGGGTCTACAGACAAGAGGGGGCTCCACAATTGGAGCCGAGGGACCAGGGATCATAATATAGATGTCCTGTCCCCAGATTCAAGGACACTGGCTCCCAACCCTCTCTCTTTCTCTCTCTCACATACACACATGCATACAAATCATATTACTTATTTGCAAATGCCCACATTTTACATGAGCCATTATTCTCCTTTCAAATGCAAAATGTAATTGAATTGGCAATAATTTTTTTTGGAAAAAGGTAACTTGCATTCCTCTTACTCGTCTTGAACCTGGTTGCGTTGATTACGGGTTGAGTCCGAATCAGAGTCTAATTGTTGTACATCCCGATCCCGAGGACCTGAATCTTTATGTCTCTCCCTGTCAAATGTGTCCTGGAAAGATACACAAATCAAAAAAAAAAAAAAAAGTCTGAATACATGACACAGTACGTATGGATTGCAAAAATATTATGCTGAGCAAAACGGAAAAAAAGCATGTAATGTATGGTTCCATCTACATGAAGTTCTAGTGCAGGTGAAACTAATCTAGAGTGATAAAAACCAGAAGAGTGGGTGCCCTGGGGGCAGCACAAGGAATACCCTGGAGTGATAAAAATGTTTTACATCTCAGTAGGGGTGAGTTACCCAGGTGTGTGCATTTGTCAAAACGCATCAACCTATGGATTTCATTGTAGATATATTATATCTCAAATTCTTTTTAAAACAAGACTTTGAAACATCATCCTATATCTCTATACCTAGAATAGCACCCACAGGGGGTGAAAATCTGAGAAGCATCCAAAACTCCTCAGGGAAAAAACTGCTTAATGACAATTGACCTCTATTGAGTACTTACCACTTGCTGGGCCCTGTGCAGGTTGTTTAGCATGTTTATCATATTCAGTCCTCACAATGACCCTATTAGGTCAGCAAAATCCTTGTCCTCATTCAGCAAATAAGGAAACTGAGACATAAAAACTAGACAGCAACCCAAGGCCATTGAAGAGGGCTTGGTTTTCTGCCCAGTGATCTCCAAGCAGGAATCCTTCAGCCACTATCTTATAAGACCCTCTGATTTGAACAGCCCACTCTAAATGCTTCAATTTTAGACAGGAATTTATGTAAATCAATAT